GATATAGGTTCCGGACACTCCCAGTGAGTTACAGCATGGACCGATCGTCTTGTTAGGTCAGTTAGTGTGACCAACCCATTAAAGGGGAGTTTTGTCCATGGGAGCGTATTTTGTTTGGTTATTTTGCTTGACTCCTACCCGCTGTACCCCCATCAACTAAGAGATTATCCAAGTGTCATCCAAGGACAGCGAGCGTTCTCCCATCCGCTCGGGGAGACGCGCCCGGTAGCAGTATCTCTTCTGCCCCGAGTGTGTGTGTGTTTGTGTGTGTGTGTGTGTGTGTGTGTGTGTGTGTGTGTGTGTGTGTGTGTGTGTGTGACCCTCTTATAACTTTTAAACGGCTTGACCGATTTCATCGCGGTTGACGCCATTCGAAAGGGCTTGGCCAAACTTAGATTTTAAATACCATTTGGACCGATTCGAATCAGTAGATTTTGAGAAATCTAAAAAAAACTACCAGACAAAATTTTTTGAAATGTGGTTTTTTGGAATTACTTTAAAATGGCTTCACCAATCAATTCCAAAATCTAATCAGCTCTTCAGATTAAAAAACCACAGTTATCACCGCAAGCCCAGTCAAAATCAGTTGATTCGTTCGTGAGTTATCGTTGTCGAAAGAAAACCGAAAAAAGTTTTTCGGAATTACCTCGAAATTCCTTGTTCGAACAATTTAAACTTGAAATTGCTCTGTGAAGCTTTAAAAACGGCGTCAAATGCCGTCAACTGCGTGGAAATCGGTTCATTCATTCAAAAATTATTGCGGTTTAAAAATTCAAAAAATAGCGTTTCATTAAACTTCTATTAGACTTTTGAGCTCGGAGAGCTTAAAATGACACGAAAATTATAATTTTGAGCTCGAAGAGCTCAAAAACGTAATAAGTGCAATTTTGAGCGCTTAAGTATGAAATTAGCGGGAAGTTGTAGGGATGGCCTTTTGGGTCAACCGTTCTCCTAATTTTTTTTCGTCTTGTAATTATACGTTTTCCTTTTTAAAGCGGTACAGGTAAAACCAAAGATTGGCAGAATGAGGATCGACGTAGTTGTTCGTTGAGAAAAGGATCATTGGGGGCTCGGTACATTGTCGGTGATGCTGGTGGTAAAGATGGCTTCGTTGAAGGAGCATCTTCATTTTTCCGTTCGGAAAAGAAACCAAAGCCAGGGGATGATTACCACGGTGACATGAACGCCGAAAATTTTGAAAACTGATTACGGAAAGACTTTGTACCGAATTTAAAGAAACCATCGCTGATCATTCTTGATAATGCACCATATCATTCAATGCAGGTATGTATATAAATTTGCCTAGCTTCAAGTGCCACGAATTTGTCTGTTTATTAAAATTTTTTCAGTGCCATCAATTTTTTATAAAAAATTATTTTTGAGGTTGAAGAGCTCAAAAACGTAATAAGTGCAATTTTGAGCTCTTAAGTATGAAATTAGCGGGAAGTTGCAGGGATGGCTTTTAGAGTCAACCGTTTTCCTAATTTTTTCGTCTTGTAATTGTACGTTTTCCTTATTATGTTGCAACTTTACATTTATCTTTTTATGTTGTAATTTTACACTTTTCTTTCCATTTTGCATTGTTTTATGTTGCATTTTTTTGTTGCACTTAGTTACATTTTTACTACAAATTTCTTAATATTATAGGTAAATAACTATTACTTAAGGATTGCAAATCTTACGGTTTTTTTATCTTCAATTTTTTACATTTGCATAGTGATCCTGAAATAAATTTCGAAGATGGAGAAGAAACCTTAAGAAAGATACTCCACGACTCAGGTTACAATTGGAGAAAGACTGATGGTCGCCGATATTTAAAAGAAGAGCCAGATATTCAATTGAAAAAACGTACATTCTTACAAGGCTACATGGAAAACTACATGAAGCTTGAAGATGAACAGCTAGATCCAATATTTTTTGATCAAACCTGGACCTTTTAAAGCGGTACAGGTAAAACCAAAGATTGGCAGAATGAGGATCGATGTAGTTGTTCGTTGAGAAAAGGATCATGCGGGGCTCGGTACATTGTCGGTGATGCTGGTGGTAAAGATGGCTTCGTTGATGGAGCATCTTCATTTTTCCGTTCGGAAAAGAAACCAAAACCAGGGGATGATTACCACGGTGACATGAACGCCGAAAATTTTGAAAACTGATTACGGAAAGACTTTGTACCGAATTTAAAGAAACCATCGCTGATCATTCTTGATAATGCACCATATCATTCAATGCAGGTATGTATATAAATTTGCCTAGCTTCAAGTGCCACGAATTTTTCTGTTTATTAAAATTTTTTCAGTGCCATCAATTTTTAATAAAAAATTATTTTTGAGGTCGAAGAGCTCAAAAACGTCATAAATGCAATTTTGAGCTCTTAAGTATGAAATTAGCGGGAAGTTGCAGGGATGGCCTTTAGAGTCAACCGTTTTCCTAATTTTTTTCGTCTTGTAATTGTACGTTTTCCTTATTATGTTGCAACTTTACATTTATCTTTTTATGTTATAATTTTACACTTTTCTTTCCATATTGCATTGTTTTATGTTGCATTTTTTTGTTGCACTCAGTTACATTTTCACCACAAATTTCCTAATATTATAGGAAAAGAATTATGGCAATGCTAGGGATTAGCAAGGACAACGTTTGTAAATATTACAATTTAGTTGAAGAAGGGGTTTCAGAAACACCTGGAAAAGTACGGAAACGTGCAGCACCTCTCAGAACTATAGATGAAGACAAAAAAAATCGTATAAATGGAATTATATATAACGCATGTGATCAACGTGAGTACCGTATTACAATAACGTCTTAACATAGATCTATATTATATATATAAAATGCTTTGTTTGTTCGCAAGTACACAGTTTTTTCTATCACCACCAACCTCAATCAACTTCGCTTTAGGGTGGTAAATTCTCCTTGATCTCCAGGTGGTAAGGAGTTTGGTCGCGGAGAGTGGCAAAAATGTAAAAATATATATTTCTGTCTTTTTCTAACTCCTGAGGACTTCTGAAAAGATCTCAAAATTTCTGGATTGATCTAGAAAGTTTCCAAATGTGTAAAACTGTTCGTATCGATCTGTTAATTTATTAGTGTGTTAATTATTCTACTCTATTAGATATACTCGATGTACACCGTATGATTAATGGCTGAATACGTCTCTGAAAATCCAAAATAGATATCTGTAATATCTACGTTGAAAATGTATCCTTATGTATATTTTTTAAGACATTAAACATGTGATGTATTTTAGCTCAAGCAACGCCGGGTTTCGCTGCTAGTAACCTTATAAATGTTTTAATAGCAAATAATTTAATTGTCTTTAAATACCTCTTTTTTTATGATTCAGGTCATTCTTACAACGTCGAACAACTTTTAAATATAGTGAAAAGGTAAATATTGAAAGTTTTTATGCAAAATTAAAACTTTTTATTAAACTTATTTAAGGGTTAAAAATCTTACTGTTTTTTTATCTTCAATTTTTTACGTTTGCATAGTGATCCTGAAATAAATTTCGAAGATGGAGAAGAAACCTGAAGAAAGATACTCCACGACTCTGGTTACAATTGGAGAAAGAGAGATGGTCGCCGTTATTTAAAAGAAGAGCCAGATATTCAATTGAAAAAACGTACATTCTTACAAGTCTATATGGAAAACTACATGAAGCCTGAAGATGAACAGCTAGATCCAATATTTTTTTATGAAACCTGGACCTTTTAAAACGGTACAGGAAAAACCAAAGATTGGCAGAATGAGGATCGACGTAGTTGTTCGTTGAGAAAAGGATCATGCAGGGCTCGATACATTGTCGGTCATGCTGGTGGTAAAGATGGCTTCGTTGAAGGAGCATCTTTATTCTTCCTATCGGAAAAGAAACCGAAACCAAGGGAAGATTACCACGGTGACATGAACGCCGAAAATTTTGAAAACTTGTTCCGGAAAGACTTTGTACCGAATTTAAAGAAACCATCGCTGATCATTCTTGATAATGCACCATATCATTCAGTGCAGGTATGTATATGTCGTAGACAGATCGTGAAATTAGACAGTTCGTGAACTGTCTAAGCATTGCTAGACAGTTCATGAACTGCAGCCAGATCGTGTAATGGTCGATCAGTTACACGAAGTGGCTAAAATTTTTAGACAGTTCATGAAATGCAATTAGGTCTTAGACAGATCGTGTAATGTTTCAAAATTACATGATACATCTAAATTTTTTAGACAGTTCATGAAATGTCTAACAGCTGTTTTGCCGATCGTGAAATATTTGTGAAGCAAATAAATACCTTAATTAAATCAAGTCAAATTCCGCGCTCAACGACACACAGTTTCATGCGCGCTCACCATAAAAAGCTGCGCACATTAATGTGGATGCGACATAATGCAATAGACACAATCAGACATCAGCTGATTATAATTATACTGTGATTGTAATTGTACTGTGTTACATGTTGATTTTTTTTAATTATTTTTAAATAAATTAAATTAATTTGAATAGATTTTTGTAATTTATTATACATGATGGATAGTCAGTGCAGTACCAAGCGACAATGGACGGGAGTTTGTTAACAACGTTATAGAAGATTTGCACAAAATGTGGCCTGAGTCGAAGATTGTTCACGGGCGACCAAGACATCCCCAAAGTCAGGGTAGTATTGAGAGATCAAATCGGGATATTGAAAATATGTTACGAGCTTGGATGGTTGACACAGGAACTAAGCGTTGGTCTGTAGGCTTAAATTTTGTACAGTGGCAAAAAAATAGTTCACACCACCGAACCATCGGCCGTTCTCCGTATGAAGCACTGTTTGGATGCGAACCCAAGCTTGGACTTGTGACTTCCAACATCGCACTGGCATTGACTCATTTTGAGAACCGAAGAAGACTTGGAAATTTTAGCACAAGATAATAACAATAACTATGATGATGATGATGATGTTAATAATAAAAATCACGACAATAACAATCACGGCAATAACAATCACGGCAATAACAATCACGGCAATAACAATCACGGCAATAAGAATGATAATGACAACGAAACTACTTATGAATATCAGTGTAGTAAATGTGATAGTCTTTTTGATTCAAGATACTCAGTCCAAAGTCATGTTTGTAATTTGTGTCGTACAGAGATAACTATCCAGAAAGAAAGAGCTGACTCAAAGGTGAAAATGGTCGCAGCAGCAGAGAAAATGCTTTCCTCCACTAAAAAAAAAAGCTCCCTGCCTATAAAATTGGTGACTGCGTGATTCTTGCAGTACCAAAAGTCGATCGCGGTCCAAGTGATCCCCAGAACATTATATGTGTCATCACAGATCAAAAAGAAGAAGTAAATCAGGTGGGGGTTCGAAACGGGATCATAAAAGGGTGGTTTCGGCCCGAAAATCTTGTTCCAGCTGGCTCTCAGTTTTTTGAACGTGACGACGTAAACTTGGTAAAACTTTTTTCTCTTAGAGAAGCAGTGAAAATTTGCAGTGGAGGACAAGGATTTTTTCAATGCTCATGTAGAGCTTCTGACGTGCAATGTACTACAAAAAGGTGTGCATGCAAAAAAGCTAACGTTTTGTGCAATAGTAGATGTCACTCAAGTTTACCATGTGTGAATAAATAAATAATGAAATTATTTTCTTTAAATAAATGACATTGACTGCTACAACTAATATCTTATCTTTATTTTAGTTGTTTCCTTTTTAGAAATCCGTTGTTCTTAGATATTTCACGATCGGCAAAACAGCTGTTAGACATTTCATGAACTGTTTAAAAAATTTAGACGTATCATGTAATTTTGAAACATTACACGATCTGTCTAAGACCTAATTGCATTTTATGAACTGTCTAAAAATTTTAGCCACTTCGTGTAACTGATCGACCATTACACGATCTGGCTGCAGTTCATGAACTGTCTAGCAATGCTTAGACAGTTCACGAACTGTCTAATTTCACGATCTGTCTACGACATATATAAATTTGCCTAACTTCAACTGCCACGAATGTTTCTGTTTATTAAAATTTTGTCAATGCCATCAATCAACAAAATCAGCTTTAATGCTTAAATATGTTATCAACTATTAAAAATGTGACTACCTCATTCTAGCATCTTGTTATTTATTGTTCAATACTGAATATTTTTGCCTTTTATATTTAAATCTTACTCAATTATACTGGGAAAGTTTAAAATAAATAAATTTTTCAGGTATCGGGTTGTTTTGAAAATATTTCTGTAATTACTTTACTGGTACAAACATTATGAAGAAAAAATTTCAAAAACTCATGCTAAACAGTCTTTTACTTTTTTCCTTTTTTTTTTTTCTCGGAAAAATTCTACTTATTCCGAGAACTGGTACTTTTAATTTTCATTATATCGTTTTTCTTCAAGTAAAAGGACTTATTGTCTATTGTTTTTGGATTACCGGACTACATACAATAGTACTTAAATCTCTTTACTTTTAGTGATAATTGGTAATGAGAGGGAGGTATATCCATGTAGAGTATCATTAGACCCTTAGAGTAGAAGTTGGGAAAATTGATCTGGTCAACGTTCATTGGGCCTTACAATCATGGGCCTTACAGAGGAGATGTAACCAAATATAAATAGGCATAATTTTGGCAAAGTAAGAATCACTTTTTACAATTTCTCGCTTTGTACGGACGTGTGCATTGTAAACATACATTTATATCCAAGTGCCTCAATAGTGCAATATTGCTTTTTTTTATTTATTACTTTTAAAGTTAAAAAATAAAAAACTCAATATGTCCGTCGTGTGCAAGTTTAAGAACTTTGAAAAATTATACTTTGTATATTTCGACGAACCGTCTATCTCGATAGAGAATGTCAAGACAGACATCATACGCCAAATGCGTGTACGTGAAGACCGGGGCTGGGAGATTGTCGCAGTGGACCCAAAAACTAAGAAGGAGTATAAAGATGAGGATACCGTGTGCTAATACACGAAGATCCTTTTACAGCGACGAGTGATCTCAGAGAGTCAGCTACAGAAGAGGAAGAGGATGCTTGAATGGAAGCGCCGGGAAACTGAACTCCAGGCGCAACTTGAGAAGTTAAAGTCAGCTGCCTCCACCCGAAAACATGTGGACCTTACCAAGATGGAGGGCACTGAAGAGGAGAAGATTAAAAAAAACGATGGAGCTGTCAATGGCGTACTTTGCACCATCAAAGTGGTTAAAGGTGCCGTATAAGCAGAGTGGGCCCGTGCCTGCCTCCTTCATCTGCCGCTGTTGTCATAAACCTGGTCATTGGGTGTACCAATGTACGTTCACTGTCAACGGGAAGCCGACTTCAATAAAGAAAGCCAAGGAGATCCCGCAGACTATGAGGACCGAAGTCGAGGGCCCCGAAACACCAGGAGCCATGCTGACCGCAACGAGGAAGTATGTTGTCTACTCTGGGCTTAAAGAAAGGCCACCATCTTCAACCTCTTCATCGTCAGTGCCATCGTCATTGTCACCATCATCATCACCCTCAACGTCCTCGTCGGTGCCATCATCATCATGTCCACCATCATCGAAGTCACCGGTACCATCATCATCTGCGTCTCCGCCACCACTGTCACCAGAGCCATCGACGCCATTATCGTCATCATCACCAGCACCATTATCATCATCATCGTCGCAGGGTACCACTGGGTTCCTTTTGGCCAGCTATACCCCGAGCATCGCAGAAAATACCTGATACTATTCGTCCTCAAATAGTAGGGACTCGGGGTATCAATACAGTAAATATGAGCACCCTATGAATCATCAGTATCTTGGAGGGGAACCACCTTACCAGGAGGTATATGGTAATCCAGGATACAATGATTCTAGGTCCTTCAGGTCCTTCAGTGGACACAGATCATCGTCCCTTTCGAGGAAACGAAGGAGAAGGTACTAGTTTTGTAAATATTTTGTTTTTTAAGTTAAAGAAATAACTATTTTTTGTATACAATTTTTAGTCTTAAAATATATTATTTTTCAACTTAGATTTTTATTATTATTATTATTATTATTATTATTATTATTATTATTTGTAAATTTATATTTTTATTAAATAAAAAGTTAATTTATCATTGCAAAAAATAATAATTATAGTTTGGGGAGTAAGGGCGTTGAGTTATCCAGCGAAGTAAACGAAGATATATAATTATAAATTTTATTTAAATAAATTTAATTGCTAATACACGCGTGTACTTAAAACGAAGTGAAGTTACAATTATGCGATACGAAGCTTAGGGCTCACTCGGTCAAACTGAAATTTTTCAAGTGTCCATCTCGGCCCCCGACCTCTCAAGGGGTAGGGGGTACTCGATGGAAGTGTAGAGAAAATATATTAAGGGTAGGAGTACTTAGTTGTACGTAAGTATGGAAAATTAATATACGTAGGTACATGTACAGGATAGATGCTCTAGGTACATATAACTTATAGAATTGATATACGTAGGTACATGTACAGGATAGATTCTCTAGGTATATACAAATTATAGAAAAGTAGAAGTATTTTAGTTACAAGAGATAGATAGACATATAGGTATAGGTAGAGAGAGCAATTAGTGAGGTCTTGGGTCCGGTTAGGTCGCTGGCCGGCGACAAGAGTTTTTAATTCCTTAATTGCTCTTTAGAAAAATATATGTTATTGAGAATATTTTGTAGAAATATTTGGGAAAAACCCTTAAGCTTCTTACCGACTAATTTTACATATTTTTAATCCTATTAGAATAAATTTTATTAGGGTCTCGTCAGCTGCAACTGTGAATTTTATTACTTGCAATACAATTACAATAAAATAAAATT